ATCAAAAAGTCTGTGTGCAGGGTGTGAGGGGTCTGTGATGATTTTCCCTGCCCGTTTCCTGGTTCTTGAGAGGTATTTGCCGATTGTATTGTGCCCAAAACGGTCATATAGATAAAAAGAAGGAAAAAAATCTGTATGTTAAGACACTGTTCAAGTTTTTTCTTTGTTCGTTTTTTTTTTTATCTAGAAGTGAACAATAAAGTTTCAGGACAAAAAAAAGTATTTTGGAGGAAGTATACCCACGCCACTTCCGGAGACTCTGTAGCTAGCAGGTAGCTAGTGATGAGTGATGGCGTCTGCTGCGATGGATACCACGTAAATGAATAACAACAAAAACATTACGGCGAGTGCGTGTCTGCGTGTCAATAACGAGGCCGTTTCTGTGAAAGTACACTGAAAAACAGTGTGTCGTTATGGCGACCGGGAGCAGTGGTGGCGGATTGCCGTCAAACCATGACGGTCAGGAGGCAGCATCCAACTCGGCTCATTGCGGAGCACCAGCAGCGCTCTCCAACGTCCCAGCCTCCGCTCCTACCCCGTCCGGCTCCCCGCCCGTCCTCGGCCTTCACCGGGAGCCCATGTACAACTGGCAGGCGACGAAGAGGTCCCTAAAGGAGCGCTTCGCCTTCCTCTTCAACAACGAGCTTCTCAGCGACGTCAGGTTCATAGTCGGGAAAGGAAGACAGGCCCAGAGGATACCGGCCCATAAGTTCGTCCTGGCCGCTGGCAGTGCCGTTTTTGATGCCATGTTTAACGGTGGGATGGCCACGACCTCTGCTGAAATCGAGCTGCCTGATGTGGAGCCGGCCGCCTTCCTCGCGCTGCTCAGGTAGGACAGGTGAACCCCAAGCCCTGCCTGCGTTCGAGACCACCTAGTACCACACTATTTCCGGGTGGTAAAAACCTCATGCATACCTCATGATCAAAGTGTACATAAACATTAAAAACAGCATTTAAAAGTTAATCAAAGTCAAGGCGCTTATGTGGCCCACCATATTGTTTTTAGGGGATTTCTCATGTTTAACCCTAATGAAAAATACGAAACCTCGCTCTAACGTACTCTATTAAAAACAGTTTATCACTTATTAATTTGACTTCCTGATTTTAGAGGTCTCACAGCAAAGTGACCTTCAGACCTTTTCTTTCAAATTAAAGAATTTGAAAGGTAAAAACTCAAATACGAACTGCTAAGAAACTAATAATTAGAAGAGGTGGGTGGGGGAGGGTATAGCGATACAGTACAGTTTCACGATATTGTATCGACGCAGGGACACCAAATATCGATATTTTATTAGATGAATGAAAATAAACAGATAAATAATAAGTACATGAAAACACCCTGTAATACTACTCTACTAAGAAGAGGGCTTATCTCCTGCACCACCATCCTAAATTATAATTCTGATTCTGATTTAGGATGGTGGTGCAGGAGAAAATAATGCTAGCCAAGCAATAAATGGGCTCAACTGAAAAAAAAACCCCAACTATCACCACAAATGATGGACACACTCAGCTGGACAAAGTATATATTGCCAACTTGACCCCATTCAATCACAGAAGGGCAACATTGATGGATGATTTTAGTGACATTGTTGTTATGCTTGACAATCTCATTTTGCAACAGAAAAATAACTGAAGCACATAACTTTATGTTATTGGATAAAATATATACTTTGATTATATATTTAGGTAATAAATAACTGTATATGTTATTGAAATACTCAGCTTATTGCAAAATGGTAAAAATTACAATTATAGCAAATCATGAGGGAAATATTGTGATAGTATCGTATCTCAGGGTGTCTGGTGATTCAAGCTAATAATGAGTAAAGAACTGTTGTGATTATCTAGAGGACCATTTCAGTTTATGCCAAATGAGTAGTGATGTTTGTATGAACTTGTTCCTTGTAACTCAAAATGTTGAGGCACCTCCATCTTAGCATGGCCTACAAATATTAAGAATTTACGTAGAATAACTATGAAAATGTAATTGTTCCCTTTGTTCTGGTGCCTGTTTCCTCTCTACAGGTTCCTCTATTCTGACGAGGTCCACATTGGTCCCGAGACGGTGATGACGACTCTGTACACGGCTAAGAAGTATGCGGTCCCTGCTCTGGAGGGGCACTGCGTGGAGTTCCTCACCAAACATCTCAGAGCTGACAACGCATTTATGCTTCTCACTCAGGTTACTTTCACTCTCCTCGACTATAGTGCATCCTTTACGTTAAAACTGAGAGTTCCAGATGGCCTGGATTGTACTTTTGGTTTGTGAAATTTTTAATGTTGAAATATTCCTTTTAATTCTGCAAGTTAACTTGCTTGGTTTTGAACCATCCTCAATGGCACTAGATATAAATAGTCAGATTTATGTAGTCTACAAAGAGTCAGATTTCTTTAATGGCGGGCATGAATAGGGTTTTAATATCAGCTATGTGTATTTTTTTTTAATGCATTTTCCAGGCAATATGTTAAAAAAATCTAATGAAAATCTGGCATTGCTCTTACCGTCTGTTCAACAGCAGCTCTTACAGTTAGAGATAAACTGTATTTCTTTTAAGTGTGTGTGTGTGTGTGTGTGTGTGTGTGTGTGTGTGTGTGTGTGTGTGTGTGTGTCAGCACCAGACCACCTCCCAGCCATCGCTGGCAGGACTTTTACAACATTAGCTGTTCTATTTTTGGTTTATGCTGCCGTTTGTTTGGGTTCAGCATTCTGTTCAGTGGCTGGCTGCTGTGCCCTCAGGCTGCTACTGAATCTGATTGGGGGGTAGAAAAGGTCTCAGCAGCAACTAGAACAAAACTATAAACAATACTGTAAATAAGCTAAAGCAACCATATTCTGAGCAGTGTTTTCTTTATTAGCAGTGGTGGTTTGGGAGATTTATTCATTAGCATTATGAGGTTCCACCCAACTTGGATTGTTTTAGTGTTTGCATTAAACTTTCAGTTTTGTTTTTGCTTGTTCTAGCGTGTTTGGGGGTAAATTCGATACCCTCCTTTGGTGCGTTCAAGATAAATGACCAGAATCGACACTTACACGGATACTTTTGTGGTCTCGTTACAGGCCAGGTTATTTGATGAGCCTCAGCTCGCCAGTCTCTGCTTAGACACCATCGACAAAAGCACAGCAGATGCAATAAATGCAGAGGGATTTACAGATATTGACCTTGGTATGTGAGCGTTTATGATCAGGTGTTTTCTTGTCCACGGTTTGCATGCGAGTTGTTAAATATTAAGACTTTTGTGTATTTGCATGTGTAGACACTCTTTGCGCGGTGCTTGAAAGAGACACACTAAGCATCAGGGAGAACCGTCTGTTTGGAGCGGTGGTCCGCTGGGCGGAGGCTGAGTGTTACAGGCAACAGCTTCCTCTGACCGCGGAGAACAAACAGAAGGTTCTGGGGAAAGCCCTCCCGCTCATCCGCTTCCCGCTCATGACTGTTGAGGAGTTTGCTGCCGGTAAGTGAATCACAGAAATATGAGTTTATTTGCAATGCTGTGATGTTTGCAACACTCTTCTTACCAATTCAGCCATCACTAAGCATATCCATCATGTTCCTCATGTACAACTCAAACCACAGAAACCAGTTTGATATTCTTTCTTGTGCAACAGGGCCTGCCCAGTCTGGAATATTGTTCGATCGGGAGGTGGTAAATCTGTTTTTACACTTTACAGTAAACCCCAAACCGCGGGTCGACTACATCGACAGGCCTCGCTGCTGCCTCAGGGGGGAGGAGTGCAGCATTAATAGATTCCAGCAGGTTGAGAGTCGATGGGGGTACAGTGGTACCAGCGACAGGATCAGGTGAGCGGAGGCTTGATGGTTGTTTTTTTGTTTTTTAATTATTAACACTTGATTTTTCTCATTTTCTTTCCATCTCTTTCTCTCTCTGCAGATTCAATGTTAACAGAAGAATATCCATAGTGGGTTTTGGCTTGTATGGTTCCATACATGGACCCACTGACTATCAGGTCAACATACAGGTAACTTCTGGCACGGAGACATAATGAGGTTCAAGAAAAAATACTTACACTGCTGATGAGTGGGTTTATAACTTTTTAGTAGAACTCAGTGTCATTTCATTTTTATATTATTGCCAGCAAGTAAAAAACAAAACAACAACTTTGAAATATTAAAGTGAATTAAAAAAAAAAAAACACAAGAAAAACAACCTTTTCTAAAATACAGAGTTGTGGTAACACAAGCATCAATCCTCACTTAATATATCTTAGCTTTAAACTATAAGTTAAGTGCTCAGTGTGTAAAATCCCCCAAATTATTCCTCAAGGCTTTTAACTAAACTGCAGCCAGGTCTCTGTAGCTTGCATGAGCATACAGCATATGCTCAAACTAAGAGCTAGCATTGGCCAAAATAATGATGAGATATACATAAGACTGTCCTGCAGCTTTGTATACTGTGTGTCATGTCCAAAGAAATTGGGATGGAGAGTGAAATGTAAACAAAAACAGGATACAGTGCAAATCTCATAAACATGTAATTTATTCACAGAAAAACAGAGAAAAATGTCACATGTTTAAAATAAGAAATTTTTACCACTGAATGAAAAACATCAGCTCCTTCTGAATTTGATGGCAGCAACACCTGTCAAAAAAATTGGGACAAGGGAAACAAAAGAATGGAAAAGTAAGCGCTACTGAGTTCAGTAACATGAGAGGCAGAGTTTCACTGTTTTGCAAAAAACTGCAAATCTACAAATTGTGGGACAATTTCAGAATAATGTTCTTCAGTGTGAAAGCAAGCGAGACACCAGTGTATAATCTGTATGCCTCACTTCCTTATACCAGTATAATATTTATAGTAAGGTAACTGAACCCTGACATTACCCTTGGGTCTTCCTGTTATTTATTACTGTTATTTATGCATCAAAGCTTTTATTCTATAATTACAGGCTAAAAAAAGCATCGTTTTATATAATACACACATAATACATTAGTTAATGTTATTAATCCTCTTAGCTGTAGAGTCAATCTAGCTAGCTAGTGTTTCCAGTCACATCAGATTTTGCTAGCAGTACCATTAGCAGGAAGGAAAGCATACATTAGAAATTAGTGGACTCCATTTCCAATCTAAAATAGCCAGTATTGCTCAGTGTTGGTGCTGTAGAGGAATGGAAGAAAGAGACAAAGGCAAGGCGTTAAGAAGCGGGCAACTCATCCGAGTCCCTCACATTAAGGTTACTGCACAGGCTGCTGGAGGTAACCCAGAGCTGGAAAAGATCTTATTTTTTAAGTAACGTTACAGTCCGCTCACACATTGGCAATAAAGATAAAAACATTGCTTTTATGAAAAAAGCTGAAATAATGTTAAAAAAAATACCGGTAAGTGGGGAAATTAAAAATCTGAACACAGTAGTAATATCCTTTCCAAAATATGCAATAAAGATACCAAAAAAGGGTGTGCTATCTAGATCTGCTTTATGGTAACCTCACTCTCTTTTATTGTGTAATTTATAATTCCTCTTTATATGACGGTTTTCTCTGTTTCCTGCTTGAACACAAGCTTTAAGATAAAACATGGCTGAAGATACTGCGATTGCTAAAAGCGAGTGTTCAGTAGCTGACCTTTTATCTCTGTCAAACACCAAGCCCTGACACGTGTTTGCCTTTCAGTTATTTTACTAAAAATGCGCCATCAAATGCCAACTGACTTGTTCAGTTCCCTGTATTTGTTAAAAAGTCTAACAGAAGCTTCTGTACACCAGTGAACAGCCCGGGTTCTTACAGTGCTCGGTAGATGTTCTGATTACAATCTGTGATGTAAAGGTCCAAGATTTGCATCATCCCTGCATTTCAAAGTATTGCCTGGGGCCCTTTATGCGTGTGATCCCTCCTATCGCTGCTGCTCATCTAAACTAAACTAAAACCTCAGTCACACAGGCGTAAACGATCGACGACTGAATTCAGCAGTTTAGCGGTCACAGGCTGGTCTCTGTGCCTGTTAACTTTAGTCCCCAGTAAGAAGAGACATAGCTGAATATGTGCTGTGTAACAGTTTATTTCAGGGGGCTTCCACGTTTGTTACAGCTACAGAAATCCACCAGTAAACAGATGTGACACTGATGCTGCCAGCTGTGTAAAAAGTTGATTTAGTTGTTGTACATTCAGTGAAGACTTTCTCCTGTTCCTCTGTAGATCATAGAGAGCGACAAACGCATCACACTGGGACAGAACGAGACAGGTTTCAGCTGCGATGGCACAGCAAACACGTTCCGAGTGATGTTCAAAGAGCCCGTGGAAATCCTACCCAGCGTCAGCTACACTGCGTGCGCCACCTTAAAGGTCAGCCTGAGGTTACTGTATTTGAAAACTGAATTGAAGGAATGATTGAAAATGAGCTTAATTTAACGTCTGTCTTTTTAATTTTATAACTCAGGGCCCCGACTCGCATTATGGCACTAAAGGGTTAAAGAAAGTGACCCAGGAATTGGCATCGGGGGCCAAGACAACATTTTTCTTTTTTAGTTCACCTGGAAATAACAACGGCACATCCGTGGAGGACGGGCAGATACCAGAAATCATCTACTACAGCTGAACTCGCTGCAGTGTCATTCAGGTACACTGAAACAAGGAGACCTCGGACTGCTGGGAAGACTGGACTGTTCTTGGTGCCTCACGAGCCTATGGAATAACGAATGTGTGTGTGTGTGTGCTGTATGTTTGTATTTGTCTATACGATGTTGGTGTACAGGCATGATCAGCAATGTGGAAACAACCTGAGTTGTGGAAAAATCACAGCTCTGTTGTCAAAAAAAAAAAGAAGAAAAGAAGCTTTTCGGGGGACAAAGTGTATCATCGGCTATGAATGATCTAAATACAGACACATCCTGGAGACAGGCCTGAGAGCTGTCTGTCTGTTAACATGTGAATCTGAGCTGCACGTCAGACTGCAGACAGTTACAATCTGTTTTGCTGATGCATTTATCCAAAGTACAATATTTACATTTTTTATTATTTTTTTTTATTGTGCACTGTTTATCATGTATTCAACATGTGTCTGTTCAAGTACTTTGTTTTGGCATTGTAATCACGCTCCGTGTGTGTATGTTGTGTAACATTGCCAGTGGTACATGCTGTTATTTATGACTTCATGTTTGCTTAGAGTTAAAATGAAAAAAGAAGACGGGGAAAAAAACCAGCAACAACAAAATAAACGTTCCAGTTTTATGGGGAAATAAATGTTTTGGTTTTTTTTAATATGGCTTAAAAGGTGAGATTTTTTTTTTTTCCTGTTCCAAATGCTGTGGTAAATATTTATGTACAGTTTATATCATTCCTCTTTGTGTCACTAGGTGATGCCAAATCCTCTACATGCATTCAGATACTACAAAACAGATTAGAGGAGGGGGTTGTGAGACGATCAAGAGAAGTAATCGGCGTCGTGGTTACAGTGTCGTCCTTAATCCTGACGCACATCTCAATAATGCCCAATTATTCTTTGCTGGATGTGCTCTGTTCTTACTCTGCCAGTGAAAAGAAGGCTGTCCTCTGAAAGCTGCGTCTACAGCTCAAAAGATGAAGTGCTCTTAAATTGCATAATGTGCACATTCATATGAAACAGGCAGTGCAAACAAGGCCACTTTAGACGGCTGTGAGTGGGCTTTGATGAGGAGAGTGATCCACGAAGGCTGTCAGGTGAGTCACCGGGACCTGAGAGCTTCTGCTGCCTGCCCACTTAGACGGCCCTCATAAGAGAAAGAACCAAGAAAATCACTTTGAGGCAGCTTTTTTTTCCCTTTTTTTTTTTTTACCACCCACGACACAAAACACTCAAGAACCAGGAGGACAAATAGTCCACAGCACTACCAGTCCTCTAATTTTTACCTGTACTTTGTTAAAAAATATATTTTAAAGTCTTCAAAGAACTTAATAAAGGCTTCCTGTTACGTCTGCCACAAACAGGCAAACATGGAGCTTATTGGGAATAACTCAGTCACAAGGATGATTTCTTGCACTTATTAGATTACAAATCCATGACAGGGATTTGTGGTTTCTCTGATGTGTGCGCTTGTCTTTCTAGGTGTGTGGGTGGTGTGAGGCTGGTTAGATGGCAGATGAATGAGCCGTCTTTCACAGAGTGAGCCTGAACATGAACACTGATGACAGGAGAGGGGATTTTTCTCTCTGCTGTTTTTTGACACTGACTGTACAGGACTAAATGGTTTATGTTGTGCTGAAGCATGATTATAATCAGGAACCCCACTTTTAGTACTCAGCCTAGAAATGGTTCCTCTAATTAGTGTGGCTGCAAAAAATGTTGTGCAGCAAAACTCTCACAGTACCAAAAAATGATGCTGACATATGAGCAGGCAGTATTACCTGCATGGGGTTCTTCTGTTGTGAAGGAAGTGAAGTGAAGCAAGGTCTTTACTCTCTTTTCTGGTTTTTAGCATTTTTTATAAAAACACATTTTCGTGTTTGCCAAAGACATGCATCATATGTGTATGATGTGTCTGTGGTTACAGTGTGTATTTGTCATTTACATTATGTACCCAGATGTAATTGTGGTAATATAACACACCTAAAGGATGCACACACTCCTGTCTTCATCTGAAGACACAAAGCAACAACAGCAAAAATCACATCAGTGTCAAAACTGAATCAGTAAAACCTGAAATATTGTATTTTTCTTTTGGTCAAAAGCTGAGTGTGGTAAGTGTTACACCAAGCAATTTTTAGACTACATCAGTTGAGCCAATTTCCCAGACTTCACGCAGCTTTCTCTACACACAAAATACAAGGGGTTTTACACACCTTTTACACAGGCAGAATGGATAGTGTGTGAGTGTGTGTGTGTGTTTGTGTTCACCTACTTGTCCAGCTGGTGGGAGTTATGTAATTTGTAATTTGTATGTAATTTGTATTCCAGTGCTGTGAGACAGTTGGATAATTAATTATTTTTATATACATAC